TCCATTGAGTTTGGATTTAAGATCTTCTTCACTCTCTTGATGTATTCACCTCTAATCTTTTTCTTGACTTCAGTGTGCTTGATGTTGTCAGCTTGAAGGATACCCAAGTATTTGTAGTACTCTTCCTCATCCAGACTCTTAATGTTATTTTCGTGGGGCATCTTGATTCCTTCAGTTTTCATTATTTTTCCTTGTTTGATAGTAAGTGTGGCACATTTGTCCAAGCCAAACTCCATTACAATATCTTGGCTATATATACGGACAGTGTTGAGCAGCGATTCTATTTCAGATGATGTTTTTCCATACAGCTTCAGATCATCCATATAAAGGAGGTGGGATAGTCTGGCAGATGTTTTTGATGTTTGATAGCCATGTCCTGAGTTATTCAGTATTGTTGACAGAGGAAACAGTGCAATAACAAATAGTAATGGTGATAATGAATCTCCTTGAAATATTCCTCTCTTGATATTAACCTCTCCCAGCTTTTCACCATTGATCTGCAACTGTGTCTTCCATTGTGCCATCGATTTTTGCACAAATTTTCTGATGTTTCTACTTACTCCTGTTATTTCTAGGCACTTGATTATCCAGTCATGTGGCAGAGAGTCAAATGCCTTTTTGTAGTCAATCCATGCCACATTCAGGTTGGTCTTCCTTCTCTTGCAGTTTTCCAAGATCATTTTGTCTATTAGGAGTTGATCTTTTGTTCCTCTGCTATTGGGGCGGTTTCCTTTCTGCTCAGGTGGAAAGAGATTGTTTTCAACTAGATGCTGTTGTACTGCATCAGCTACCACACCAGTTAGTAATTTGAAAGTTGTTGGTAAGCAGGTAATTGGCCTGTAGTTACCTGGTGTTGCCCCTCTTGTTGGATTTTTCATTATTAGGTAGGTTTTCCCAGTTGTTAGCCACTTTTCAATTTCTCCTCCTTGTAGTATATTGTTGAATTGCTTGGCAATGAGTGGGTGTATAACAGTTAGATGTTTCAACCAAAACCCATGCAGTTCATCTTCACCTGGTGCTGACCAATTTTTGATTTTCTTTGCTCTTTTTTCTACCATTTTTGTTGTTATTACTAGTTCTTTCATTTCAACTTCTGTTTTATTTGCATCCACCTCTTTTAACCAAGCCGCATCCTTGTTGTATTTCTTTGGGTTATCCCATATCTGCTTCCAGAACTGCACTGTTTCTTCCTTGTCAGGTACTGACTGATTCCTTGCAGTTTCTCCATTGATGGATTGGTAGAAACGTTTCTGATTGGATTGAAATTGGAGGTTCTGCCTATAGTTTGCAATTCGAGCTTCATATCTACTGATTTTCCTGGCTATAGCTGTTATTTGTTGCTTTATTATTTCCAGTGCTTCCTTGATCTTCCTTGTTTCTAAGTGGTATTTCTTGATTAGGTATTCTTTGGTCTTCTTGTTCTTCAGCTTCTTTTCTTTCATCTGTTCTAGCTTGCTTGCATGTGATCTTAACTTGCTGATCTTATTTTCTAGTCTAACCTTCCATTTTTCTGGTGCACTGTTTGTTTGTTTTTCTTTTTTGTTGATTTTACATCCCAGGTATTCTGTTATAACTGCAGCTGTGCTGTACATTAGTTGGTTTGTTTCTTGCAGTGAATTGGTGCTTATACTTGCTATTGCAGTATTTGCATCTTTTAATGCTTGTGCTAGCTGTTTCTTTGGAACAAGCTTCAATGCAGGCAGCCTTATTCTGTTGTTTTTGTGCTGTTCTAGATGCTCAATTATTCTTTGTTTCAATTCTTTTATTTCTTTAGTTAGAGGGTTTTGTTCTTCCTGAGGAAGAGGTGCCTGGTTTCCAAATGAGAACAGTTGTATATCTCTACTGGATTCTTTCACTGCCAACTCCCCCTGGTTTGCCTCTACATTCTGAATTACTTCTTGTAAGGCTTTGATTTCTTTGCCCTGGGTAAACCTTTGCAGTTCGTCCAATTCTGTTTCTGTAAATACTTTATTTCGTGTTATAAATCGGCGTTGATCTGCTAGTCTCTGTTCTGTTATTTCTGATTCTGGATGTTGTTCTTTCCAGAACTGGTGCATTCGTTTTAGATATCCTCTTCTTGTTGGACTTGATCTGTAGTAACAGATCATTATTTCTTTGTTTTCCATCACTGTGTATCTGCGACGGGTAAACACCTTTTCTTCCAGTAGTTCTGCAGCTGCTGGCCCTGGTTGCTCAGCCAACAGTCCTGAGTCCTGTAACCCATTTTTCACCAGATATCCAGGAACTCCAATATCTAGTGCGGACCTTGTTAACCCGGGCGACGTCCGAGTATTATTATTATTATTATTATTATTATTATTATTACAGTAGTAGTAAAGTTGGAAGGGACCTTGAGGTCATCTAGTCCAACCCCCTGCTCAGGCAGGAAACCCTACACCATTTCAGACAAATGGCTGTCCAGTCTCTTCTTAAAAACTTCCAGTGTTGGAGCATTCACAGCTTCTGGAGGCAGGTTGTTCCACTGGTTAATTGTTCTAACTGTCAGGAAGTTTCTCCTTAGCTCTAGGTTGCTTCTCTCCTTGATTAGTTTCCACCCGTTGCTTCTTGTCCTGCCTTCAGGTGCTTTGGAAAATAGCTTGATTCCCTCTTCTTTATGGCAGCCCCTAAGATATTGGAATACTGCTATCATGTCCCTCCTTGTCCTTCTCTTCGTTAAACTAGACATACCCAATTCTAGCAACCGTTCCTTATATGTTTTAGCCTCCAGTCCCCTAATCATCTTTGTTGCTCTTCTCTGTACTCTTTCTAGAGTCTCAACATCTTTTTTACATCATGGTGACCAAAACTGGATACAGTATTCCAAGTGTGGCCTTACCAAGGCATTGTAGAGTGGTATTAATACTTCATGTGATTATTATTATTATTGATCATCGCACAGTCAGCCAGATGTTCAGACTGGATTTGGCATTTTGTCTACCTATTGAGTCATTATTATTATTATTATTATTAATCATCGCACCGTTAGCTAGATGTTCAGACTGGATTTGGCACTTTTGTCTACCTGTTGAGTCCTTACTAAGGACCTGGGATAGGCAGATCTGGATGTTTGAAGGTGTTACAGATATTGTCGCAGGATGGAAGCAGTTCCTAGTAAGGCTGCCTTTTGCAACTGACTGATGGTGAATTATTATTATTATTATTATTATTATTATTATTATTATTATTATTATTATTATCATCATCATCATCATCATCATCATCATTATTAATATTATTAGTATTATTATTGTTATTATTAACTCCCATCATGACCATTAACCATGCGGCTGGTGTGAATTGGAATTCAACAATGTACTGCATTTCTTGGAATACGCTGCCCTTACAATTGGAGCAATAGCAACTTCATCACGTTCCAGTAACTTTCCTGAGAAATATAATTACTTTTCTTGGTTTCAACTACTTCCTCATTTGGTCAAAATCTAAACTTGTATGAATAGAGATGCCTTTTTTAGGTCAGTTCTATTTCGCAACTCTGCCTGATAGTAATTCATACTTATGCACGTATGTGTTTGGGGGTGGGTGGAAGAAGTATTGGATTGCTTTTTTTTAAAAAATGTTTAATTTACCATATGAAATATGTGGCTTGCTTCTTTCTTTCTTTCTTTCTTTCTTTCTTTCTTTCTTTCTTTCTTTCTTTCTTTCTTTCTTTCTTTCTTTCTTTCTTTCTTTCTTTCTCCTCTCTCTCTCTCTCTCTCTCTCTCTCTCTCTCTCTCTCTCTCTCTCTCTCTCTCTCTCTCTCTCTCTCTCTCTCTCTTTCTTTCTCATCAAATTCCATGGTATCTTTAAAAGTTTGCAGCTCTATTCTGATTGAGTGATTGAGTTTTAATCGGTTCATTACCCCAAGCTTAACAGCCTCCTTCAATTCTCTGGAAGCTATCCCCCTGAGTATTATATGAATACAGGGTCAGCAATATCAGGCTGGGTGAAATAGTAATTTGTGATTCACTGTATATGGCAAGTCAGACTAAAAAAGTAATTATTTCCTCTAAGTTATGTAGATTGCACTAAGACCACTTTAGTTCTCAAGGGAGTTCTACATTTTTGGCATTTTGTATCTGCCTTACTTTAAACATTGTTCCTTTACATCAGGAACCTCACTATGATAGATTGAGAAATTACAGGAACAGGTTTCACAAAAAAAAAAAAAACCCACATGTTTCATTTTCGGGATATCTTCCCCGTCTTCTGCAGAATACGAGCCACTAAATGCAATTTCACAATGTTTTATTTGGGTTTCTGAACAGACATAATAAGACCATGGGGACAAGTTTTAGAGAGATATCAAATCTCTGGCCTATTTCAGAAAAATCCTGCTCTGGAGCATTAAGCAGAACTTGAAAAGAAGACCTTTGAATACATGTCTATGCTATCCATAATTACCAAAACTCTGGGCTATGGTCATTACCTCTATATTACCATAGGTCCTAGTGGCCATTCCTACGTTGCTAAAAATGTGGTTTACCAATTGAGAAAGAGGATATTGTTATGCAAACACCCAGTTGCACGCTTCCCCATTGTGAATCAAGTAGAAAGAAATTCAGAAAGTCTCCAGGGATAAATTGGTTTGAAACCAAAAACAGTTAAGTTGCTGGAATTCTTGCTGCAGAGAACTTTGTAAAAACCATGCTTGGAAAAGAATGATTTTGATTTAAGAAGCTGCCAAAAATCACCCCTTCTCTCCAGGTTTGGTTTCTATGATCCATCACCAGCACCAAACTAAGTGGCATCATCACCAGGTAAGGATGGGTATCTACTGTGAGTTTCTTTAAAGATCCACCAGTCATAAGACAGCAACACCGCCTTGTTCTTCCTGCTGCCACCACTATGGTCATAGTAATTAGCCTTGATTAAGGTGCCACTTTCAGATTTTCTTCAGGAGGCTGTTGTGTGTGGGAATGGGGTGGGAAGCCTACTTGAAACCATGATAAATTGGACAGTGAAACAGCAGATACCTGACATACAAGATGTGTTTGCCCAAACCCATCCTTGAAAGTAATCTCAGAGTCAACACATTGTCTGGTTTTCAATAAGAATGAACACAGCCTCTAAGAAAAATAACCAAGCCATTTATTTCAGTATAGAAAAATACACACCTGAGGCCTAGAGCTTTGTATACATGCAGCTACTTCAACAGTAATCACTCAAAAAGCATAAAGATATTTCTTTCCCTGTGGTGTCAGGCAGATGGCTTCTACTGAATCTCTATAAGTTTTATCTACCACAATCTAGTTTCATACAATTTTCCATCAAAACCAACAAGGTGAAATAAGATACGTTGGTTCCAGAATGACATATGTGAATGTTGCATCTGAGGCTTCTCACAAAACTGAAAATTAGATTCAAGAGATTTAAAGTAATCTCACATCAGCATTCATTTCAGGTCCTGATTAAAAAAAAAACCCTGCCAAAAGTAGATCTAGGCCAGTGAATTTTCTAGGCAGATGTGACCTCTTAGAATGTTGTTTTCTGCTGGCAGAATGTTGCCACTGTCCCATTTCCCTCCCGGTCTTACTCTGAGATTTAAAAGTTGGGATAGCTATTTCTAAGGCCAAAGAACTAAACAACTGAACAGAAATATAATTAAGGTTAAGAAACCTTGCATTTCAGAGGAGTTTACACAAGCAATTCCTTCAAACAAAGATATCATATTGGACAAATATTTTTAAGAGATACTGGTCCATCACAGGCTCTGTGACTGTCAGAGGAGTGGAGATGCAGCAATCAAGTGCTAAAAGAAAAGAATGATCTAGCTCAGGCATGTCAAACTCGTGACATCACGTGACATCGCATGACGTATCGGAGCTTTTTCGCCATTGCCGGCAATGGGGTGGGTGCGGCTCCGGTATGACGAAACCGGCCCGTGGGCCAGAAGTTTGACACCCCTGATCTAGTTGGTTTGGGGTTTTGAACAGTACCAGCTCATTATTTCACCTAGTGAATTTTTTTCTAAGGGGATGGGCATCATAAAAGCTGCTATGAGAAAATATTTATTGTGTTATCAGTGTGTTCCATTGTACCCATTCATATGTTGGGGACAAAGATCTGTGACCCAGCTGGATATTCATATGTATTATTGTTTACCTGTGACAAAGTCTCAAATACTCTTTGTGAAGTTTGGATTCTTTCGCAAAAAAGCGAACATGGAATTCTCTGAAAGTCTTGAAAGTCTGAGATCTATAGGCAGATGTCATCTTATCTTTGATGACAATCAAAATAACTCAAAGTTGCTACAAGCAAATCAGGAGCAGCCAAGTTTTTCAAACGTGATTTGATCATCAGTTGTCACTCAAAATGAAATTTCTGCAGGCATTTTTTCAAGTTTCACACTTGCTTGGATATATTTGACGTTGTGATCATTTTTAGCTTAGGTGTCCTTTGGAGTCAGAAGTTACTGCTCTGTATGATGCTACTTTTCTGAGTGATCACCCGTCTAATGTCACAGATGGTTCAAGGGTTGCAAAAGGTGTGGGTGTACTAGATCCTGCCAGTATACTGGGGAGGTTTCTAAGAGTTAATTCACCAGTTTCTCTTTTTTTGGCATTGTCCCTACAAGACCTGCAGCAACATGGATAGCAGGCTGATCTATGATTCCGGAGTTTGTTGCAGATGCCAATCCAACATTCTGTAAATGTCCTCCGGATGGTGGAGGAAGAGAAGAAGAAAATAACAGGATCCAACACTGTATTGAGGGAAGTCAGGCAGAATGTCTCTATTCTCCAGGGAGGGCTACGATTCTGCACATAGCCTACAACGTGGGAGATATTGTAGGGAGCAAAGGCCACCGTGAAATTGAGCACAGTAGCCACAGCTAAGCCCATGGCCCTTTGCTTCTTCTCGGGCTTAATGTTTGGCATGGTGTTCAAGATGCGGATCACATTGGCATAGCAGGAAACAGTGACAAGGAAAGGAATTAAGAAGAGGACAAAGAAGAGCTCCAGGCGGAAAGGAAGGACAATGTTAAGTTGTTCAGCGGAGAATTCATGGTAGCAAGTAGTATTATTTGCACGACTCCATGGACTCCCAGGGAGGTAGTGAACAATGAAGACAATGCAACCGCAATGGGAACAAGCCAAAAACCAGAAGAAAAGGCTAGCAATTTTTGCATAGGTTGGTCTGCGGTTCAGCTTGTGCTTAACAGGGTAGGCAATACACAGATAGCGCTCTATGCTGACTCCCATGAGGAACAGGGTGCTGATATAAATGCTGCTGTAGAAGAAGAAGTTTGCCAGTGGGCAAAGAATGGAAGGGAGAGGCCACTTGAAATTTAGGGCAACTTCTGCCATCTTGAAGGGCAAAAAGATCAGAAGGAAAAGGTCAGAAAAGGTCAGATTGAGCAACAGGATATCTATGGGGACAGGTTTGCGACGTACTTTTCTCAGAAAGGAGTAGCAGGCCAGGAGATTACAAGGAAGACCAGCGAGGAAGGCAGTAATATAGATAATAAGGACCACAATTCTGTTTTGCATCTTCTCAGATTCTGTAAAGGAATTTGACATAATCAGATGTTATAAAAATGTTTCTTATTCCTCAAGGGAAGCACCAGGCTGAAGAATATTTTTCTGTCTCTAGGGATACTTTGGAATGACCTTTTGGGGAAGGATGAATCAGTTGCCTCAATGGTCATGAAACAGATTTCCCAATGGGTTAGTGATGCTCAAATCTTGTCCACAGATAGATCATCTTCCCTATTCTGCTCATCTGACTATATAATGCAAGCTTAGTTCACCTCTTTCCTTCCTGATTCTCTAACTACCCAACACCAGCTTGCAGCTTTTGAAACTCATAATACAGTTCTTGTATTTTGGCAGGAGTTTGGGAAATTTCTAAACCTATGGTGTATTCACAAAAATAGATGGAGAACATGATCAAACTAGATGTTGATAATTTGTAAAAATTGTGGAATAAAACATTGGAATGTTATTGTTTATTAGATTTGTTAAGGTCACCTGACATCAAAAAGAGAAAATTTAACTAGAGAGCTGTGTTTTTTTTATTACATTGGATTTTTGTGATTTTAGACTATGACTAATTCATCTCAAAATTGTATTAAATGCCAAGAGCACATCTAAACGCATGCTTTGCAAAATGTTCAAAATCCACTCTGTCCTTATCATTCACGGAATAGCAGCATCTTGGAATGACCTATTAGACAATTGAGTCAATTCTGGTTGGAATTGGAAATTCTGCAAGTATTTGGCACCAAGCCATCGAGGGCTTTATAGATCAATATCAGCACCTTAAATTATATCTGGAAGTCAGTCACTAATGAATATAGGGCTTGCATAATTGATATTATAAGTTCCAAACATTGAGAACCAATTTGTACATGGACTGCTGCATTCTGGACCAACTGCATTTTCCAAATAGTCTTCAAGGGCAGTCCCACGTTACGTGTTTTGCAGTAACTCAACTACATGGTAATGAAGATGTGAGTTACTGTAGCTAAGCTCTCCTTACCTGACAAGATCAAAACTGATACCTAACCAAAGCTAGGCAAAGAATCCTCTAGCTATAATCTCTGCATGCTGTTTATGGAAGAGCAGTGAATACAAAATGCAGAATAACATAGCTGGAAGGGACCTTGGAGGTCTTCTAGTCCAGGGGTGTCAAACTCAATTTCATTGAGGGCTGCATCAGCATTGCGGTTGCCCTCAGGGAGCTGGATGGGTGTGGCCAGGGTGGGTGCGACCTACTGGGTGGGGGTGGATGGAGTGGGTGTGGCCTACTGGGTGGGGTTGGCCAGCTCTACATCATTCATGTCAAGGATGCCTGTGGGGGCCTGGGCAGGAGTGGGACAGATCTGAGGGTCTCTGGCAGAAGGGGGTGGGACCAGGGCAAGTGCCAAGGTATGGTCCACTGGAGGAGCCTCACTGTTCCTCTCAGGCCATGCGGGGGGGGGGGGGGGCTTATGGAGCTAAGACTGAATGTGTATCAGTATAGATGGCCACCACAAAATTGTACATTGGCTCCCAACTGGCCAAGGCAGTGGGGGCTATTCCCTCACTGTTTCCAGGATGGCTTCGCGGGCCACATGAAACCACTTCATGGGCTGCATCTGGCCCCCGGGCCTTGGGTTTGACATGTCTGTTCTACTCCAATCTCCTGCTCAAGCCTGAGACTCTATACCATTCCAGATAAATGTCTGTCCAATCTCTTCTGATAAGAGAGCTCCTGGAGAGAAGCCATCCTGCTGATTAATTGTTATTACTTTCAGAAATTTCTCCTTAGTTCTAGGTTGGTTTTCTACTTGAGTCCAGAAGGACTTTCAAATTGCAAAGCTGCTCTATGTGGATGTGTACAGACCACTCCTTGTTAAAGAGTTTAACTTCCATCTATTTCAGAGGTGGGGAACGATGGCCCCTTTATGACTTGTGGACTTCAACTCCCAGAATTCCTGAGCCAGCATGGAGTTGGCTCCACCATGGAGCCAGCAGGAATTCTGGGAGTTGAAGTCCACAAGGGATAAAGGGACCATCGTTTCCCACCCTTGATCTATTTACTTTCATGAAAAAACTTTACAACCTCCATGCGTGAGCTAAGCATACTGACAACGTGCCCTTTTTTGGCCAAGGTATTGATTTATAGAATTGGGTATCATCAGGAAACTAAAAATATTATACTGAAAGTGTCACATGATTCTCCCAGTGGTTTCATATATATTTCAAAGAGCAGAGAGAAAAGGCCATCAGTGCAGCACTCACAATGTGAAGACCACCAGTCTACCACAGACTGAAATCACCTACTAAAGAAGGAATAGATAAAATATCCATTTGTCCCAAATGGTATAGGGTTTCCTGCCTGAGCAGGGAGTTAGATGACCTCCAAGGTCCCTTCCAACATTATTATTATTATTATTATTATTATTATGGATCATCGCACAGTCAACCAGATGTTCAGACTGGATTTGGCATTTTGTCTATCTATCGAGTCCTTACCCAGGACCTGGGATAGGCAGATGTGGATGTTTGATGGTATTACAGATATCGTCGCAGGATGGAAGCAGTTCCTAATAAGGCCGCCTTTTGCAATTGACTAATAGCGAATTTGTCAATGCCAATGGTGTTCAAGTGGTGCTCCAGTTGTTTTGGGATTGCACCCAAGGAGCCTATGACTATTGGTACTACCCTTGCTTGCTTTTGCCACAGTCTTTCTATTTCTATTTGTAGGTCTTTGTATTTTGTTATCTTCTCCAGTTCTTTCTCTTCTATTCTGCTGTCTCCAGGCACTGCCACGTCCACTATCCAGACTTTTTTGTCTTTCTTATCGACAATTGTTAAGTCTGGGGTGTTATGTTGCAGGTGCTTGTCTGTTTGAATTCTGAAGTCCCAGAGCAGTTTAATTTTATCATTTTCTATGACTTTCTCTATTTTATGATCCCACCAGTTTTTGCTTACAGGCAAATGATATTTTTTGCAGATCTTCCAATGCAGCAGCATTATAATAATAATAATAATAATTATTATTATTATTATGAATCATCGCACAGTCAGACAGATGTTCAGACTGGATTTGGCATTTTGTCTACCTATCAAGTCCTTCCCAAGGACCTGGGATAGACAGATGTGTTGTTGTTGTTATTATTATTATATGCACTTCTAATCCGCAGCCCCTAGTGAAGGTGGTGCACCAAGATACTATAGTCAATGAGAACCACCGAAAAATCTAACAAGACCAGGAGGGATATACCAGCCCCATCTAAGTCCTGCTCAAGTAATCCAAGAAAACACCAATGCAATCTCTGTCATTCTAAATCTTGATCAATCTTCAGGACTTATTGTCAGATGACAATTAGTCAGATGTTCTCTAAACATCCTGAAATGTTGTTGTTGCCTGTGGAATCCATAGAGAGCTAATGGTCTAATATTAAATATTTTGTTAATACCACTTGGTGTTCTGATTTGTATATTTTGGGGGGTCTGACCACTATTAACCTGTGCCACTGCTACTGAAATATCATTGAATCACCCAGGCAAAAAAAGCTATTTGGTTTCTCCGTTCATACCAATACTGTTTATGTGTCAATCAGCCTTTCTTTATTTTCAGAGAATTCCTTCTACTGAATTTCAAATGTTCCATTAGAGAGTAGTAGAAGAAACTTTATTCTCCAGTTTTTGGCTTTGAGTTCTGAACTCTTCAGAGTACAATTCGAGTCCCTAACATCCCATTGCTTGATTCAAAAGGAAGACTTTTTGATACCATTGCACAGAAAAGAGGAGAATCTTATTAACATATTGTGTACAAATATTTATTCTTGCCTCTTTCACACCTTCTTATAATACCAAATAATTCCTACCTGTTTCTAGTCATTTCATTGCCAACTCTTTCTTTGAATATATCTCATTTCATCCATACGTTTGCTTTTATATTTAATTCCCACCACATTTTGTTTAAAATCTTACCTGTATTCTAGTGAAATGAGATCACAAACATCTAACACCGATCTGGTTGAAGGATATCGATGCCTACATGAGAAAATGAAAGCATCTGTCAGCGACAGCAGAGATATGAAGTTACTGTATATTTCACTTTGCAGAAACTGTGGTCATTTGTAGAAAAAAAGGAACTCTTCACCAGTAAAACAAAGATAATTTGAAATATCTGGTTTGCTTTGGAGGAAGTTTTAAATGATGCTGCAAAACTCCTGGATTACACAATTTACAGCCCTTTATTTATTCCTTATTTACTTGGGGGTGAAGATCTCCCTTTGGTGATGATAAAGTCTTCTCGCATTGGCCTACAATTGGGGGGTGTCCACTAACGTTGGTCAAAAAAGTCAAGATGGGTAATACCATCATTTATTGACACCCCCTTATTTTTTGTATGTGTTGTAAATGTCATAAGAGAGGAGAGCAGTGGCATGAAAAAGAAACCTTATATCAACAGAATTTTTCCAAAGCTTCAAGTTACTCTCTGGTCCCAGCACAACATCAACTCTATAGAAGGCAGCTAGCTTTGCACAATGCTAGACTAAGCTATTTTGGGATTGGGAAAATCGTAGTAGACATGCCTTGGGAACCTGATCAGTATGCTGTGGGAAGTTGTCCTCTGAAGCTACAATATGGATTATTTGTTGAGACATAGCCTGTGATGCAAACATAACAAAAATATTTGCATATGGTAGAACCACATTCACCTTGGTTGATCTCAGAAAAGTTAAGCAGGATCAGACCTTTTTAGGATGGAAGATCCCAGGGCTGTGGACAAGAGTGAGAACTTTAAAAAACATCCAGAAATAGGCTGTAATGAAACACTTCATATTGTTCCTAATAAAACAAGATGACCATAGATATCTTTCCTAATTCCAGGTTTAATGAATGGGTCAAGCCAGTGGTGGGATTCAGTCGGTTTGCATCGATTTGGCAGAACCGGTACCTAATTTTTTGTTGCCCAGGCCCAGAACAGACTTCCAGAAACAGCATCCACACAGAGAACCAGTTGTTCACAAATTTGAATCCCACCATTGGGCCAAGTGAGTAAGTAGCTTTTGAAGTGGTATCTCTGTTAGTCTTTTGCAAGAAAAAAAAATAGAGTCTTATGACATTAAAAATTACTGGTTTTATTATCACAGAGGTTTTGATATATTAGATGTAAGAGTTTTGGACACAGTTGATGGATGGAAGATAATAGAAAAGAAAAATGTGGCGATGATATGAAACAAGAGCATAAAATTACTATAGAATGGAAAGGCAGAGTGGGAAGAATCCAGAGAATTCAGACAAAGAAATATTTTAGGGAATATTAAAA